TATATAATCTAGCTTCTCAATCTAGTCCTGACGCGTGACAAGAAAAGTCTCTGCTGTCCAATCCTCGAACATCATCGATGGCACAGGAGCATACCCTCTTTGGTGACAAAGTTTTACACAACTTGTTCGAAGGGTATACAAATTAAGTGAGTTTGAATTAATTATAAAAGAATTTGAATTGTAAATAGATTGATACGATTAACTCGTTTTGTTAACCGTGTCATATTTGAGTTGAGGAGTTTAACTCGTATAATCTGTTTATACCCATTTTACTATACGTGTTATAAACAAATTTCTATTTAAATTTCAAAATAACTATCTAAATTTGTGTCTTATAATTTATTCTTTTGTAAATTAGAAATTTTTTAAAAATTTGGTTGGGCTGAAACTTATATTTTTTAGTATTTATTGTTTGATTTAGTATTATTTAATAATTTAAATAATATGATGTTTTGTTTTAGTAAATAGATTGTTAAATGAGTTACATATGTAACATTATTAATAGAGAAGTCGGATTAATGTTAAGGATTTCTGATAAAATTATTAAACAAATCGTATTCGAGTTGAGCTACTTAGTATAATACACTTATGTTGACACAACACAATTATGATTCACGAACACAAACTACCACCCTTATATACACACCATAAGCGTCAACTTGTCCCATTTTGCCTATATAATTTTCTATAATAAATTTTGGTGGTCAGCTAATATAATTCCATACTATACATTATATTTGCATTTTAAAATATGAAATGTGTAGCATCATGTGCCTCACAAATCCCCTTTAATTTAAAATAGTGCCATTCCCTTTAATTTGAGTAACCTTCTTCAAAATCCTGAGCAGTTGGTCTAACTGTCCAAATAGACTTGGCCTTGATAAGATATTTTTGAGTCCGTGCTACCCACACTGTATCTTTTTTGGCACACAACTTCCAAATGTGGTTAAGATTGGCAATCAAATTTGACATCTCCAAATCTGGGAAGCCCAAACCACCATATATAATATCTTGGTCTACAAACTGATATCCATTCCCACCTTTGAGCCCTCTTCTTCATTTATGCATACACCTGACCAGAAGAACCGAGTACCTAGTTAATTTGTTCAATCACCCCAATAGGCAAACCAAAGGCTTGGGACCAGTAAGCATGTATTGAACATAGTATAGACTTGATTAAAACAACTATTCTAGCATATGACAAGAACCTGGAAGAAGTTATCTTCCCAAAAAAAAAAAAAAAAAACCTGGAAGTCCACCTACAGATCCTTGAAGTACTAAGTATGGTTAAATTAATGCATGGTTTTTCATATAATGAAGATGGTCAAAGCAGTAGGTAGTGCCACTTCTAACATGGGATAATTACTGGTCCAAATCAATCAACATCATGCACAGTCTTAGCAATTTCGCGTCATACTCAAAATTGAAAGTCCAACAACTTCAACCTAATATAATCAACAATATTGGAATTCAAAAGCCTCAAAAACTCTATATATATCTACACAAACCTCTTCCAACATTTGAGAAGCTCTAGTTTCTTGAATAGAGAAGAGTGTGGATTAGTTAATTCTCTGATCTGCTGCTTTTAATTTCTTCTTCTTTTTTGGCAAAAGGTAAATGTTGTAATAGCTAGCATGGATGTTTGAAAGGGGAGTGATGGGATAAAACCCAACAGATTAGCATGCTTTCTTGTTCTTCGTTGTTGGGTTTTCAATCCATAGTTTGATTCAGTTTATTCCATGATTGCTTTGTCTATGTATATATTCTGACTAATATTTCTTAATTTCAATCCAACAGATTAGCATACTTTCTTGTTATTCCTCCTTGGGTTTTCAATCCATATTTTGATTCAGTTTATTACATGATTCATTTGTCCATGTATATATTCTGACTAATATATCTTAATTTCCTTTCAACGTACATGCAGGTTAATTAATTTGAAGAATGGAGGGTTATGTGGTATGTTTCGAGAAGAGAGTACTATAATTGAAAACCCAACAGATTAGCTTGTTCTTCCGGTCCCTCAGGCAGCAGAAGTACCATTCTTTCTCACCCATCTTTGCTTTCTCTACAATTATCTATACAGCTTCGCTCGGTACAAGAGCAATCGGACAAGGTGATCTCAATGAGTGCGAGCCATGGTGTGTGTGTGTATATATATATATATATATCATGTAAGCACTATGTTTATATATAAATATAATCGGTGTGAGCCGTGGGTGCTCTCCTCATGTTCTCGAATACTGAAGCAGCTCCTCCCATGGTAGATATATTCTGACTAATCTTTGTTTTCCTTTCAACGTACAGGTTAATAAATTTGAAGAATGCAGGGTTATGTGCGATGTTTCGAGAAGGGAGTGCTATCGCGAACGGATATCGAGGGCCGCAATTTAGAGATACCTAGAAGAGCAGCTCATTTACCTCCTGGGGATGAGATCATGCATGTATTTGACCAAGACCGACATGGACGACCTTGGTGGTTCAGGGCACCTATAAGGGCAGGAGGCAGACGGTCAATGACACATGATTGGATTGCCTATGCAGAGTCAAAATCTCTCAGAGTCGGCGACCGGCTCACATTTTACCGCTCGGAGAATGAAAACTTTTATATTGTGCAGGTTCGTCGCCTCCAGAGAATCCGTCTCTATGGTGAGACCATCACCCAATGGGTGATGGTGTGACAGACACTAAAAATGCTCTCTTTGGTGGGGAATGTTTTGGTTTGTTTTAATAATTAAGAAGTGTGTGTATTTAGTACTTTGTTTCTGCTCTTCTGCTTGGGTTGGTAAGGGTCTTGTTTGTTTCCAAGTTTAATAAAGTAAAATGAGAGTTTTGACTTTCAGTGCAAGAATATTTTGATTCAGTTTATTCCATGACTGCTTTGTTTGGTTGCATCCTTCTCAAGCTCCCACTCTTCTTTTTTACTCCCGAAAAAGAAAATCAGTCCCACAAAAAAATGAGTTCATTTATCCATCACTTTTCAGCAGCCACGTTCTTTCTCACAAGTGCATTGATATTTTGGAGGTACAAAACAATTTTAATCCTAAAACAATGTTTGAATCATTTTCCAATATATGTATGGATTTTCATGGGTTCTTTATTTATTTATTGAATAGACGACACTTTTAGTTTTGAGACTTAGACACGGGCATTGATAAAACAGTGGATAGAAACATATATAGGTAATGCCATTTAGTTTTTGCATATTTAAAAGGGATTTTTACATATAAATGTATTTATGAAGCCATATTTATTATTGGGTTAAGTCAAAGTTGGATAGTTTCAATAAAATGATGTTAACCTAAATGCTGACGTGGACATGGAGTTTTACTGTTTATTTTAATTGCTTACCTAAAATACCCTTTTTTTTTTTTTTTTCTTTTGAATCAAATTACATTACTGGCCCTTTCTCTCTCCTCCTCCGTAGCTCATTTTCTCTCTCTACTCTTTCTCATCAGACCAAAACTTCTTTTCTTCTCAACAGTCCCCTTTCGCTATGGACTCTCTCAGTCTCTCTCCACAAAGAAACCCAACAACAGAGGTCTTCTATGACAACAGAAGTTTGATACACCATATCACCCTCAATTCCTCCTCAATCGCCCTCATCATCAACCCCATACCCAACCTCTCAATCGTCACCCGATGACACGACCATGGATCACGATCTTGATTCGACCCACAACGAACGGCCTGAGACAGCAACGATTCCGGTCACGACGCTCCTCGAACCCAGTTCCACGACCACAGCCCGATCTTGATTCGACCCACAGCGAACGGCGGGTGCGACGATCCGAGCTCTACGGCGCCGCCTTTGTGGTGGTAGTGACTGGTGAACTTTGTTGTGGAACATCGCGAAATCATGGAGGGCCACCGCCGTTTTGAGCTCGCCACGTTGCGATGGTCGTCGACCATCTCTCATGTTCTCTGTTATATATACATGTACATATATGTATTTACCCATATATATATATATATATACCTCTGTGTGTGCAAATATATGTGTGATGTATATGATGGGTGTGTCTGCAATATGTATGTGATGGAAGGAAAAGATAAGAGGCGGCGGGCTTACTTTCGGCGAGAGTTGCAAGACCCAGTTCGTACCAGGTAGGGCCAAAATGATACTTAAGCTCTGTTTTGCTTCTAATTTTCAATTTAAAGAGAGAGTGGTAGGAGATTGAATTGTTGGGTTTCAGTTGGGTAGAGAGAGAATGGCCATAGAGAAAGGGGCGGTATAATGAGATTTGGTCTGATGAGAGAGAGTAGAGAGAAAACGAACTGCCGAAGAGGAAAGAGAAAGGGGTAGTAATGTAATTTGATTCAAAAGTAAAAAAGGGTATTTTAGATAAGAAATTAAAATAAACAGTAAAAATTCATGTACACATCAGCATTTGGGTCAACCTCATTTTATTGAAACTATCAGACTTTGACTTAACCATATAGTAAATATGGCTCCATAAGTACATTTATATGTAAAAATCCCTAATAATTCTACATATGTTGATTATTGTAGTTGAAATCGTGCATCACGTGAGATGTCAATGCCATGTTAGGCATCGAAAAAAGCCCATGGTACCTATTACAGTTAGGAGACCCTTAATTGCATGTCTTCGGTTTTTGTCTCTAGTTACCGGTAGACACACACACTCTCTCTCTACATCTCCTCTCTCTCTATTTCTCTGTTTGTGTGTATGTATCTCTGTCTTGCATTGTTAAACAGGGACCACAAAAGTTTGAAAAACCTTTGTACCACTCATGACCTTCTTCTTCTTTTATTTATTTATTTATTTATTTATTTAAAGAATATGTACAAAGTGTTCCAACCAACTAAACAAACCAAAGGAACACGCTCCTTGGTAGAAGGGGATTCTACAGCAGGCTACAGCAATGTGTACTCCCAATTTCCAAACATAGTTGTAACATGTGTACTCCCATTGTTGATTAACAAGGATGAACTCTCATTGTTGAACTCCAAGTAGCATTACGAATTGATAAGAGAACTATTGCAGTAGGAACCATGACTGACCATGAGCATATGAACAACCTTGTAAGAATAACTGATGCATTCCTTCCAGCGAAGTAATCCTCCTAATGTCTGAGTTGTGCTTTAGCTTAAGGGAGGAAAATCTTGCTCTGATGCAACCTTTGATGAGGTGAATAGCATGAGTAGGTGGAGAAGATTTATTCCTAAATGCTCTTGCATTTCTTTCTTGCCAAATGAAGTAGATTGCACTTGAAAGTAGCAGCTTGTGAGTGATGAAGTGATCCTGCATCCATGTTGTAGCACACCAAGTGATCAAGTCATTCCAACTGTCAGGTTTAATGTAAAACCCAGCTGCATGTTGAACAATTTCCCAGATTCTGGAGCTGAATTGGCATTTGAAGAAGATATGGTCAAGTGATTCCTCGTGTGCAAGGCAAAGGTAGCATGCATTGGTGTAGTGTTTCTTCATCATTGGCTTGGTGTCAAGTGTGGCAAGTCTCTTTTTAAGTGCTAGCCAGACAATATAGCCATGCTTTGGGATGTGATGTTTGAACCATACAAGCTGATCCCAAGCAAAAACCAGTGAGGGAGGAGTAAAATAGTCCATGGTGAGCCTATGAGAGTATTCATTGGGTGAACTAGGGAACCATTCTACTTTATCTGAGGCATATGAAGGGGGTGGGATATTTTGCAGCTGTAAAGTGAAGGCTTGGCTTTGGAAAAAAGGGATTTGTTGGAGAGATATTGGTACTTCCCACTGATTGTTGGAAATTAGACTATCAACTGTGACTCTAGGGTCCAGTTGAAGAATTTCCACATCAGAGAGACCAAGCTGCATTGTACCACTCATGACTTACTAATTGATTTTTTTCTTAAAGCATATACATGAGCTAATAAAAATATTAAAAACAATATTGTAATAAGCCACATGCAATTTTTACTAAACATGCAAACATATACCAGTAGTAATAATTCTACATATACAGGATCAGGTGTGATTTTTACATGCAATATTGTAAACATGTACAGGATCAGTAGTAATAATTCTACATATGTTGATTATTGTAGTTGAAATCGTGCATCACGTGAGATGTCAATGCCATGTTAGGCATCGAAAAAAGCCCATGGTACCTATTACAGTTAGGAGACCCTTAATTGCATGTCTTCGTTTTTGTCTCTAGTTACTGGTAGACACACACACACACACACACACACACGAACAGCTCTTTTTACTAAGACATTGACGTACTTTTTATCTTTCCCTTTTTTTCTTTCTAGACCTCTATGGCTCTATACACACACACACACGTATATACATACACACCCATGAAAAAAAAAAAAAAAAAAAAAAAAAAAAAAAAAAAGGAAAAAGAAAAAAGAAAAGAAAAAGAAAAAGTAAAGGTATTGATTGTCATTAAATGAAGGTGGGATGCATAGAATATTGGTGGCTTAACTATAAAGATTGATTATGGAGTAGTTACTAGTCTTCTTTTGAGAGTGGATTCTATGAGTAGTAGCGGCTTAAGCAAAAGATGGTAGATTATGTACTAGTCTTTATAGTGGCACATTTGTTTAATTGTTTAATTGTGTAGTAGTGGCATATTCCATTTGTTTAATTGTTTTTGGTAAGGTAAGTGTGTATTATATAGATAAGGAAAAGGAACTATAAGATGCCACATCTGCCGATCGATCAAACTGGGAAGAAATACCTACCTGACCATCAAAAGCATGAGTAAAGGGACTGTGGTCACCAAAAGTCCATTTGAAACATACACTTAAGGGATTGATTGGCGGCGAGAACTCGATCGTTTGGTGAGAGTGGGGCAGACAGAATCTGTGTTAGCATGCCAAAATCTGGATAGATGGGGCATACCAAGAGGTCATGGCCACAGGTTGAGTGGACCATTTCCAAGCTTTTTCAAAGGTGATATTTTTCTCATCAAAAGGCTTGAGGGAAATTTTCAAGTACATATCGGTGGCTTGTTATTCTCCAAAAATATAGCTGATTTTAATATCCATTTGCTTATTTTGTCCCCCTCGCCTCATGTTGTTTATCTCTCTCACCAATATATATATATATTAGGGTCATATCTTTTAAGAAAACCTACCATTATAAATATGATCGGTAAGCAAGAATAGTGATGGAAAAAAGAAAAAACCCAGAGTTGACCTGCTACCATTACTTTTCTACTTGAGGATATAAAGATATTACTATTCAACTGGCGAAGTGGATAAGGTGAATTCTAATATTACGACCAACTTCATCACCTGTCACTAATGACATGGGAGATCTCAACCATGTGCAGAAGGATCTTGATTTGAACGGGCAACCATAAATAAGTTATCGAGCCATTAAATCCGGCATGAGAAAAAAAAACCCTTAACATTGAATACAAAATTATTTTTATGTTATACGATTTCAAGTACTAACTTGATCGTTGGAGGGTCCTCGACCGGTACCCCACTTGTCCCATTCGAAATAATATTCTTTGTTATGCCATGTTTGCTTCACGAAATTGGTATTTTAAGAATCGTGCAGAATAAATGCTTAGATTTTTGGCATTATTTAGATAAAGTAGTAGTTTCCAATTGTGAATTCTCATATTTACAATATTTTTAAGAGGAAAAAAATGTCCCTGCTTCACCACCATCTAAAGTATGGAAGAAAGAATATATATATATACACACACACACTCTATTATTGGGTCTACTCAAATGGAGGCATTCCCACTGCTCATCATAAATTTTGGTACTGGTCCACAAGTACGGAAACTTTAGGTAGCTTCTCAATCTAGTATCATGCCTTATATATATATATAATCTAGCATCTCAATCTAGTCCTGACACGTGACAAGAAAAGCCTCTCCTGTCCACTCCTCTTACATCGTAACATACTCTTTTCGAGTTAGGAGTGACAAAGTTTGACACTATTTGTTCGAACATAATATAAATTAAGTGAGTTTGAATTGATATTAAAGATAAATGAACATAATATAAATTAAGTGAGTTTGAATTGATATTAAAGATAAATGAATTGATATGATTAACCTATTTAGTTAATCGTGTCGTGTTTAGGTTGAACAGTTCAACTCGTATAACCTGTTTATATTCATTTAACTATATGGGTCATAAACCAATGCTGTAATAATTCTTGTTGAGCAGCTTGAGTGGATGCTTAAGTGCTTTAAGTTTTCTCACAACCCTATACATCCTAGTTCCTTGAAACTCCAACAACCATCCAGCAGTAACAACATTCAAAAATTTAGAATTCAAAGTCTAGAAATTGAAAAACTTAAAAGGTATGTTCCTTCTAGGAGAGGTGATACCTAGTTTAACCACCATTGGTGAGTGATCAGAGATTCCATGTAGAAGGAAGCAACATTCAGCTTGAGGGAACACGTCTATCCATGCTTGATTAATAAGCACTATATTAAGCTTTCTAGACATATTAGCACAACCTAAGTTGTTATTTGACCAGGTGAAGTGGATGCCAGATAACCTCATGTCCTCAAGCCTAATTCTGTGTAAACAGGTCTTGAAATCATGCATATCAAATGTCCAACTTAGTGCATTCCCAAATGATTCACTAACTTGAAGGAGCATATTAAAATCCCTTATGAGAATCCAAGGTAAATAAGAGCAACTTGGTTCATTCAAACTTCTCCAAAGTGGCTTTCTTTCCACGTCAGTATTAGCAGCATATATAAAATAAGCCAAACGTACATTTGACCCTAAGATCAAATAGCCACACTGTGAAATGAATGGTTTAACTATTTTCAGAAAAAGACATTAGAGACACCTTTAGAGGGTTCCATAGGATCCAAACCCTTCCCATATCAGAGGAGGAGTAATTACATCTCAAATTCCAGGTTGGTGCAATAACCCTATGTATATGATCAACATTGTCACAGCAAACTTTGGTTTCCAACAGTGTCACAAGACTCAAATTTGACCCTTTTTTTTTTTACCTTCTTTATTTTGTTTTATTTTTTACTGGAAAAAGAGAGAATTTATTCAACAAAACAACTTAATTAAAATGAATCAAGAAGCAATACAACATACTGATATAATTTCTTGAACTAATAATACCTCCAAAGTTTTCCTTTTTTTCTCCTTCATTATTTTCCATCTAATCTGACTAGAGAAGTATATTTTTCCTATATTTGTCCTTCACTTTGAACCAGCGAACCAAATAGAGCCTAACGCTGGGAGCATTTCAAGAAAATAGAATGTTTTTGTTTTGGTGTTTCTTGAAAAAACATCCAGTTGTTCAAAAAAATAATAATAATACTAAAGCTTGAGATCTCCACTGTTCAATCCTTGGTTATATGTGAACGATACCAATTGGAATAAATTCCTTTTCACATTACACATAAAAATCTGACAAGACTAGTAGTGTTGACAGAATAAGAAAAATAGGATAGCAGAATTATGATTAATTAAAAAAAATATAATTTGCTAGAGATCTCAAAGATGTTATCCTCCTCCTCCTCCTCCTCCTCCTCCTCATCATCATCATCATCATTATTATTATGGACAATACATAGGTCTTCACCGATAATACTTAGGTCATCACCAATAAAGATGTACACCATCCTCACCACTGATGTGAACCAATAAAAATAGATACGTCCTTTTTAATTATCAAATTTGAAATGATGTTGTACAAACTCACTTACCAAATCAGAGACGGTGGCTACATAAATCGTATCTAATTTATGTAAAGATGGTGTACACACTCACCGGTGAGAACCTAGGTATTGCCCTATTATTATTGTCTCTTACATTCCGTTAGGCCATGTACTGATACGTTATGGGGTAATGCGAGTCCCCTGCAATTGTCGGCACTCGTTGATTCTTTTAGGGGAGAAAATGAGAGAGACCAAAAAGGCAAAAGGTTTAACAATTGGAGAGAAAGTGGGAAATTAAAAGATCCTTCCATATTTGAGAGGGTAATTATGATATTTGAAAAAAATTAAATCATTTATTTATGAAGTTAGTGTATAGTGTGTCACTAACTAGCTTTAAAATTGAAGGGCAACTTTTAAAGTTTGAATCTCCCATGTGTGACTTCTAATGAGAGATTTACTGGTCCAAATCAATCAAGATCATGCACTCTTAACAATTATATGTCATACTCAGAAGTCAAAGTTCAACCTAATATCATCAACAATATTTGGAATTCAGAAGCATCAAAAACTGCCTATATATCTACGTGCTACACAAACCTCTTCCAACATATGAGAAGCTCTAGTTTCTTGACTAGAAAAGAGTGTGGCTCTAGTTAATTCTCTCTGCTGCTTTTTCTTATTTTTTATTGGCAAAAGGTAAATGTTGTAATAGCTAGCGTGGATGCTTTCTTGTTCTTCATCGTTGGGTTTTCAATTAGTACCTGTGTATATATTCTGACTAATATTTCTTTTCCTTTCAATTGTTCTTCATCGTTGGGTTAATTAATTTGAAGAATGGAGGGTTATGTGCGATGTTTCGAGCAGACAGTGCTATCGCGAACGGATGTCGGGGGCCGTAACTTAGAGATTCCTAGAAGAGCAGCTCATTTACCTCCTGGGAATGAGATCATGCATGTATTTGACCAAGACCGAGATGGACAAGCTTGGTGGTTCAAGGCACCTATAAGGGCAGGAGGCAGACGGTCAATGACACATGATTGGATTACCTATGCAGAGTCTAAATCTCTCAGACTCGGCGACCGGCTCACATTTTACCGCTCGGAGAATGAAAACTTTTATATTGTGCAGGTTCGTCGCCTCCAGAGTATCGGTCTCTATGGTCAGACCATCACACAATGGGTGATGGTGTGACAGACACTAAAAATGCTCTCTTTGGTCA